TCACCGAATGGTTTGTCTAGTAAGTGGTCTCCCTATAAAAAGTCACAATTTGCGACGTAGCGGAGGTGAATCGCCACTAAGGTCACTGTTGCTTGCCTTTCCGAATGATCTTGCCCACTCCGTGAACGTCAGCCATCCAACCAGAAAATGTTATGCATCAGCAGTACGCAGGCACGCCACACCGATGATTCGCTACTACGCAACCAACATCAAACGCGCGTGGACTAAACACTGCAAGGATCGTCCGGTCCGCTACGGAGGCTCGAACCTGCGACCTCCGGGTTGCAAGGTAGATGCCTTGTCCTATAGGCCATTGGACGACGATCCAACAAAATGCAACCACAAATGCAGCGGTACGTCTACAAATTCAAGTAATAGTGCTACATACAGATAGCTGGCGACATCCGGTTCCGGAAAACCACAGGACGCTTTTACTAGCAGAGCGACCATCGGTGGGTTGCGCTGCGCCATCCCCGCCATATACAGTGTAAAGCTGAAGGAATAGGACAAAGAGGCATGTGGATTGGAACCACGTATCATCAACAGGTACAGCAACAGCATTCTAGTAATTTGGGAATCATGCATACCAGACGTACACGGTGGTGGCTTGGCCGCAGGTCGTTCTATACTGGATGGAACCACTCTTTGAACCTAGCAGGGTCACGAGGATTGTGCAACCTACCTCCCAAAGAAACGACCAACTGCCTCCAGTATAATCGAGGTTTCAGTTTTTCGATACGTATGCACATTATTAACATTCACATCACGCACAGCCACATAGAAAAGATCAAACAACCAACACAGAATTGGTAGGAAAATTAACACGCAAAATTGACATTGAACAAACAATAAAATAAAAAACTGAGCAAATTAAGTAAAGTGAAATATTTTTCTCAGACCTGCATAGATTCACACAACACATCCAACTTTACAGGCAAACTTGTAATGCTTGTATACAGTTACCGATCATCCGTGTCGTCTTAACATGATCACGTCTATAAAGCCGTGTCTCGCACTGTGGGGAATACAGAAAAATTAAGTCATCAGCAATGGGCCGGCACAGTGTACCGGCGCTTCGCTGCCACACGACCACCACCGATAGCGCGTGGGCTGAGTATACCGCGAGGATCCCCGCCCATACGCGGACTCGAACCGGTGACCCAAAGATTGCAAGTCAAACATGCAATTCTCTCGGCCACCGGCCGACACTGTCGGGAATATACAATCCATTTGTTCGTTTGTTTACGAGAAGCGGCGGATGAGCTATGCTTGAAATATGGGTTTGAGGGCAATACCTCTAGTAAGGTGCCACTTGCATAAAGAAAGTACAAAGGCTAAATGTTGAAACAGCTGAGGGCAAATGTGAGAAAGTCAAGGAACAATTGACTGTTCCTTGATTGTTTACATCGAAACGTAGTGAGGTGACAAAAACAGATTTCATTAGCCGTAATTCCGTGGATCTCTTTCAACTAAGCATATCGGAACAGATGCATAGACAACGAACCAGGCGCAAGCAGTGAAAATTTCAGAAAAATATCGGTGAACTGTCAGTGGTAAGTGGCTGAGATAAACTCGCTGCCATGGCGGAATATGTATGATAAAAGTTCCTGAAAAGAATCTAAACGGAAATCTGTTGTATCACCCACAGAAATAGTCGTAAGCTTATTACTGGCAATCCGAAAATCGCTGATGGATTTAAGAGATTGATCTGGACTTCGCTTTTTCGGGACCCTAGTTTGTTTACTGGCAACGGAGAAGTGGGGCCGTTAGGCGGAACTGCATCATCCCCAGAGGTTGACTTAAGGCAACTTGGGAGATAAAGGCATAGAACCGCCAGCATATAACCACGGATGACCGTAAGAGGTAAAAGAAGTCAATACGGGATGTGAGTTGCCGAATAAGCAATCAGCATCTACCTAGACTTTAGTAAAGCATGACTCGGTTATTCATCACTTTTTACTAAAGAAGCTGACTTGATTTGGGTTGCATAAACAACTGATGACTTGGTTGCCGGATTTCTTCTGTGGCAGAAAGTTCGATGTCAGAATTGGTGAAGTCAGATCTAGCATGAGCACTGCCTATAGCGGGGTCCCCCAGGGTTCAGTGCTGGGACCATTGTTATTTATGTTTATAAATTATCTAGCTCCACTTCTCGATAATCCGTTTTGTTTTTGCGGATGACGTAAAGCTTGTCAATAGGGGAGGAAGGGATGCGTTGTCTAAAGACCTAGGCAATGGTAAAGTGGTCTGAATCATGGGACTTGCTATTGAACGCGAACAAATGTCAGCTGTTATCATCCAGCAACGTCGGGATTACGACGCAAACATCAACAGGGTCCCTGACATTGCAGTATGTAAATAAGGCGAGGGACTTGGGCACCGTTATGGTAGAGTTTCAAGCCTTAGGTGCAGTGCTAATATGCTGTTAACAAAGCGCGGCAGGAACTTTTCGCCTCAGAACAGCGTTGTGTAATACCAAAATTGTTTTCTCCCATTGTACAAAGTGGTGGTTCTGCCGTACTTAAAGTAGTGTGTTTGAGCTTGGGCACCTTACTTTCGAAAGGATGTCGCTTGCTTATAGAAGGTACAACTAGTCATATACAAATTCGGAGGCTCTGCTCTTGTTGATGCTTTACATGAATTACTAGTGAAACTGTGGGAGCAGAAGACTGTCCCAACCGACTGGAGCCACTCCGTTATTGTTCCGATCTTCAAAGGCAGCTCGCATTCGGAATGCGGTAACTATAGAGTAATTAGTCTGATCTCCATCGCCTCCAAATTACTCGTCTACATAATTCTTCACAGACTGACTGGCGCTCGTGAAAGCCAGATTCGTGAGGAGCAAGCCGGGCTTCGTCGGGGTCGTGGCTGCATCGACCACATCTTCACTTTGAGTCAGTTGTTGGAGCACCGTCACACATATTGGCGGCCCACCCTAGTCGTGTTCCTCGACATCAAAGGTGCCTTCGATTCGGTTGATCGATGTGCCCTTTGGAATTGTTTACTCAAGAAAGGTGTGCCCGAGAAATATGTAGATATTACCTAAGCATTATATGCGCATAGCACAGGTGAGGGCTTACGGCAAGCTGTCGCCACCCTTCAATATCTCAAGCAGTGTGAGACAAGGATGCCGCTCTCACCTTTCCTTTTCAACTTCGCTATTGACGAAGCCATGGAGTTTGCATTTACAGGACATGACTTGGAAGGTGTGGAACTACTCCCAGGAGAACGACTTCTTGACTTGGAGTATGCAGGCGACATTGCCCTCATCTGTGACAGCTCCCAGACGTGCCAAGCCGCGCTGGACAGATTAGCACTGGCTGTCAGCCTCTTCGGGCTTTGCTTTGCACCATCGAAGTGCAAAGCGTTCCTCCAAGATTGGCAGGGATCGCCTCCTGCGCTACCCTTGGTGGGGATCGGCTAGAAGTCGCTCAGAAATTCAATTACCTGGGAAGTTGTATTAGCGACCTTGGGATCGAAGAACCGTATAGCGAACCGTATAGCGAAAGCTCAAAGTGCTTTTGCTAACCTTCGCCAGCTATGGCGGCGGCGCGACATCACTCTCACCATGAAGAGTAGAGTGTACAATGCAGCGGTACGTTCGACCCTACTGTACGGTTGCGAAACCTGGCCCCTAAGATCGGCGGACATGAAGAGGCTAGTTACGTTCGACCATCGGTGCCTTCGCAGTTTGGCTCACATCTGGTGAGAATACCGCGTGAGCAACGAGCGTGTTCGACGCATTGTTTACGGCCCAGGAAAAGGATCTTAACCGCTCAGCACCGTTATTTCCCCACCAGGCTCCGATGGCTTGGCCACGTGTTATGCATGCCAGCCCACCGACTCCCTCGACGTGGGTTGTTTGCTCACCTGGGATGTGGGTGGAAGAAGAGGAGAGGTGACCAAGCGATGACTTGGTCCAGGGGAATGAAGGCGCTCACTTCTGAGCTAGCCTCGGTTGGAGCGTATCGGCTCCCTGGTTGGGGTCCAAAAGACGGTGAACACGTTTGGCTGGATACACTTGCTGACATGGCAAGGAGCCGACCTCAGTGGCGTTCCTGCTGTGAGTTTCTTTGTCCCTCCCCATCCCTTTTAGCCTCCCCCTCAATCTACGATCTCATTTCGTAGGGTAAAACTTTTTTTTTCTTTTTGCCTAGTAGCTGGCTGGTAGCTTACCGGAACGATGCCTATCCGTTGCTGGTAGCTCAGCCGGCATGTAACTGTTGTATCTACTTTCCTTTGTGTATTGTATTATATGTATGTATGTATTTCCTTCATGTATTGCGGCGCAATAGCAGTGGTGTTTTCCCACCTCTAGCTGACGTGTATAATGATGATGATGGTGACAACTAGTCATCAGAATGATTGAAGGCCAACGTGAGAAATCGTAAGTTGACCACCTGGATTGTTTAGGTTTGTTCTCATTGGAATAACGCAGACTAAGGGGACACCTAATAGAAAGGATCTGTGGCATCAAGCCAACCAATCTCTTTGAACTAGCTACGTTGGACCACTTGCGAAGACACCGTCTGAAGCTCAAAACGCATACTGGACATCCAGGCGAAATTTTTCACTAACCACAGAGTTTGTAGTTGGAATTTAGTTCCTCCTGCACTAGTGGAATGTAATGCTAGAGTCCTTTAAAAAAGGCCTAGATATGAATTGGTTTCCGGAAATGCACCGAGATTAGTGGATTCCAATTAGTACCAGTAGGATAGCACGAATAGTTTCATGAAGTTCTGAGAAATTTTTCTTATTCTTTTTATCCCTGCCGGGGCGTTGGTTTCCTTACCAGCACAGGAAACGGGACGCTCGTTAGGCGAAGGCCTGTTTCGTCCCTGAAGATCTGAACTGACCTGATCTTTCATCTCGAATTAACATCACCAAGGTGAACTCGGTAAAAAGGGAGAAAAACAAGGACAACGGTGAGCCAGAAGTGCGATACCATCCAGTATTAGAGTGAACGCAAATTTAGAAGGCGGATACGACAAACAACTCACCGCCTAGCTTCGATTGAAATTCCTAGGGCCTGCTTATATTGTTTATGTTCAAAACAACGTTCAAACATACGGTCGACGACGTGTTCTAGGCGCTTGTACGTAGAGCTGTTGGGGGCCCAAGTGCGGTCGCCGGTGTAATCAAACTTCGGAAGCGCAGCGCCAGAGTCCAGCGCTTGATCTTGCGCAACGCGAAGTTCCGTATACTTGTCGATGCACTTAGCTGAAATGAACTTGCTAAAAGAATCACGGAAAGCTTACATATTATAGTCTCTACGTATTCTGATGCCTGATTCAAGTCGAAGAGTTCCTCCGCACAAAGAGCAAAATGCAGTGCATCTTCATACTCTGAAAGATGGTAGTAAACCTTTGAAGCAAGAATCGCAGCCAGCTTATTGTGCTCAAAGCTAGCATCTTCCTGTAATATTTCGATTTTGTTTACAGATTCCGAAATTTCAGCCCAAAACTCGTCCACTATGTCGACGAGCTTCTTTAAGGCAAAGGCCTGAAAACGTTTACGATCTTTAAGAGCCAAGTCTCACCTTTACATCAGGAACTTTATCATCGAGCAGGGAAACCAGACCAGATGCAGTAGTCAGCGACATCGTGATTAATCAAGGAAACAAGATGAGTAGCTAAACTGGTGGTTTGGTTGGAGGCCACATCAGGGGTAAAAAACTGTGAATAATGCATTTGCTTAAAAAACTAAAGGTCATGTGTTCAAAAAATCGAAATACCAACTTCGACAACGATGGGTTTACAGGGCCGCTGCTGTATCACACTGGATTAACAACGTCGACAAAATACAGTCTTATGTTACTGGGCCCCACGATTTCTATCGGTGAAACGCCTGCACAAAAGTTCTCACATTCAAGTTCAGGTTCAAGTGCATTCGGGACCGGAACGATAGGATGATGCCGTGAATATACCTTCTTTGGTTTACCGTTGGATCGAGAATTGACAGGTCTGCTTGAGGTGTTTAAAAGCCTAAAACAGGGAGCGCAGCACACCCTGTCCAAACAATTACTGCCCAAATTTTCCTGCCCAGCAGTCCCTGCCAATCCGAGTTATTTGAAGCAAAAGAGTGAAGGGTAAGCTAAGAAAACAAAAAGAAGATTGTCAGCTAAATAATGATAATACCAAGGTATGAGAAGCAAACTGAATAAACGAAGGGAATGTTGAAGTTACAAGTCAGTTAGGAGTAGGTGAAGGTTTGGTATTGCCACCAAAAAACCTAACTGACGCTTGAAACCCTCAACGGCAGTCTCCCTAACGACCTGCTCCAGAAGCGGCTTCCAACGTTCAATAACTCGGCGCCACAAGCGAGTTTTCGTCCTTACCCGGTCAGAACGCAGTTTGTGCACCTTCAACAAGTGACGCCGGCGACTAGGTAGCTTGGCGGGACTAAATAGCCGGGACAAGTCTGGACCGATCTTCCCCTTTAAGCTACTGTAAGTGAGGTTCAAGTCTCTAATACTGTAGTGGTGTATTGAGTACGTACCCAAACTAAGCAAAACTTCGGGATACTTTTGCTCCCCTAATCCCTGTACCTTGTGTGCACTCGCGAAACCCTCGCCAGTTCCATTTTGTCCCTTACAACACATGATGGACAAGCCTGGATAAAGTACTCTAAGTGAGGTCGCAAAAAGCTGAGAACAGCTTCACGAAGTCATTGTCCATTAGGACACCGAAGGAGCGGTTAATAAACCGTCTCATACGGAACCCTCTAAATGCAGCCTTCCGCCAATTGTATTTAGGAAGAAGCACTGAGGTGTCGGTAATACCTAGATAAACCGGCTGAGTAACAAGAGGGATTTCACCCACCAACTACGTAAGGCGTGGGGATACTAGCACCTCCAATTCAGAGGATAGAAGATATTGCCTGATTTATAGGCATCAGCTATAGATTCAGATTCAGGTGGACTGGAGCGTTAGGAAAATCCCTTGAGTGTTCCTTCTTGAGCAAATCGTTAAGCCAGGAAATGATAAGGTTCTAGTTCTTGATAGATCTAAAACGAAACACCCGAAACACACCCTGGTCAACCAACTACTGCCCACGTTCCCTGCACTAGCAGTCCGCGCTGTGTAGGTTACGTGAAGTAAGAAAGAAGTAGAAAGTAAATGGAAGATAAAGGGGAATGAAAGTCATTAAAATGAAGGATAACACCAAAGAGTGAAGATAATGACAGAATAAGGACTAAAAGATGGAAGATGGATATGGTCAGGTGAAGGAAAAGGTTTCGTGTTGTCACCCAAGAGAGTCTAACTGACGCTGGAAACCCTTAACCGTAGGTTTACTGACTACACTTTCTGGAAGCGAGTTCCAGCGCTCGATAGCTCTACGCGATAACCGAGATTTCGTCCTGATCCGGTCAGAACGCGGCTTGTGTAGCTTCATGGGATGACAGCGAATACAAGGCAACCAAGTCGGGCTAAATAGCCGGCTCAAGTCCGGTCCAACCTTCCCTGTTAAAATGCGGTAAGTAAGGATTAGATCTCCGCAAAGCCGTCGGTAGTGCATTGAATACATACTCAAGCTAAGTAGACGCTCGGGGTAGATTGCCCCCGTAACCCCTCAACCAACTTGGTACCTATTCTCAAAACGACCTCGGGCTCCAGTTTATCCCGACCAAGGCAGGGCGGGCAAGCCTGGACACTGTATTCCAGATGGGGCCGGACGACAGCTGAGAACAGCCTCACAAATATGTCGGCAGTTAAGACCCCAAAAGAACAGCGTATTACCCACAACATTCTGAAACCCCTAGATGCGGCCTCCTTCCAGTTGTCACCAGAATGCAAACACGAGGAATGGACGACGCCTAGGTCTACTTGGTTGGAGACAATGGTGAGTTCGACCCCACCGAGTACATAGCTCGAATGCGGGAAAGTTGCTCTTATACAAAAGACGGAACACTTAGCCTGAGTTATGGGCAGTAGCCACAAAGTAGACCAGTCTCAGAGTCTGTCCAGTGCATGCTGCATGGCCTCAGAACCCCCAGGAACATTTACAACATTCCATAGCTTAAGATCATTAGCAAACAGTAGGGATGATACCTCAAGCTCTCCAGGGAGATCGTTTACGTAACTGGAGAACAGCATCGGTCCAAGGACCGAGCCCTGTGGGACACCGCTAAGGACCGCTTGCTTAAAGGATAAGCTGCGATCCACACGTACACACTGCTCTCTTCCCTGTAAGAACGCAGATACCCAGTGAATGGCGCGGCCAGATACGCCGTAGGACATCAGCTTTTGAGATAGCCTCAAGTGCGGTACCTTTTCAAATGCTTTCGAGAAGTCTACGAAAAGCACATCCACTGCGTGGCCATTGTTCGTTGCCGCGGCCCAAGCTTCACGAGCAACCAACAAATTCGTCAAACACGAAATCCCCTTCCGGCATCCATGTTGTGCACTACTGAGTAGAGTAAATCTATTCAGGTGACATTCCATCGAATCTCGCACCAGCTTTTCAAGCAGTTTGACCACGACGCTTTTCAGACTAACTGGCCAATAATTGCCTGACAGACTCCTGTCGCCAGTTTTGAAGATAGTACAGACGACAGCCTCCTTCCATTCGGAAGGTAATGTACAACTGTCAAGTGACTTCTGAAACACCATCGTCAGCGGCCCACTTAGTTCCCCCGCCAACTCATGCAGAAGCTTCGGGTGAATTAAATCAGGTCCAACTGCTTTGGAAGGATTCAGTTCTTGCAGCAGTTTAAGGACTTGCGTTTCCACCACAGTAAACTCAGCTACATAAGAACCCTCAGGTACTCTGGGGACAAGTTCAACGCTAGTCAACGCGGCCTCAAGTACAAAAAGCCTTGCATACTGCTCCCCAAGTACACGGGCCTTATCTGAGTCCGCATACGCACGAGTTCCATCGGCCCGCATCCAAGTTGGGATTACCGAAGTTGAACCACAGCGTCTCTTAACATAAGCGCAGAACTTCTTAGGATTTTCCGAAGCTCCAGCAGCCAATTCCTTTTCGTACACCAGCCGAGCTTTCCTTAAGTGTTATTTACACCTATTTCTAGCCTCGCGGTATCTATTATAGGTGCTAGTTGATGGAGTCGCACGGTAGGTCCTCCAGCACCTAGAACGCTTCTGGGGCAGGCACGTGCCAGTAGTATCTATCCACGGCGGCCGCGCTCGTGTCTTCTTTCTCCTCGCAAGCGGGATGTAGAGAGCAGACACTTCCGTGAGATAAGACTTAAAATTATTCCAGGCCGCCTGAACCGTATCAACCACCGAGATTTCGCAACGAATCATAGCAGCCTTGATACGCAATGCCTGATAGTTAGCACGCCTTATGATTGGAAATGGCTTAGAAATGCTCTGGTGACGCCTGGTCAGAGTACACCTGAACGATAAATAAACATGACCACTAACACCTGAGGGAGAGCTGAAAGTGACGTCCCCTACGAAGTCTAGTGACGTGGCAAACACTAGATCCAAAATAGACGGGAGTTGGGCATCCATGTAACTAGTGGGGAGGTCCACGAACTGATGCAACGGTACTTGTAGCGAAAGCTCAAGTAGATTTGCTCCGAAAGTGCCTTCTTCCGAGTCGTAGGAAAGATCTGCCTAGCAAAATTCTGGTAGATTGAAATCCCCGGTATCAAAAACCTGTTTGCTGATTGGGAGCGAATAACTTCAAGCGCTTCTTTGGACGTACTCCCAGGGCTTCTGTACACAAGTACAACTGTAAGTTGAGCTGAGGAAGTGTTAATCACTACCGACAGCGCTTCGACAGTTTCCTCTGCCGACTGAAACATGTTGGTACGTGAAACGTTAAGGTGACACCGAGCATAAATAGCAACGCCCCCGCCTTGTCGGCCAACGAAGCGAGCACACCTAAATAGTGCGTAGCCAGACAGATGTACTTCACCGTCCGTGATGTCCCGAGACATCCACGTTTCAGTGAATGCAAGTATATCGGGGTGAGACCCATCTACAAGCAGACCTATCTCACACGTCTAATTCCTTAGGCTCCGCACATTGCTTAGCACTTTCTGAAGGTAATCGTAATGTCCAGCCCTGGGTCGTGCGCTACCAGTACTTGCGCTGGTAGGGCGGAAAAAGCCGCCGGATGACAATCCGACTGCCCACCAACCGGAGACCTTGTTCACCAGCCGCTTGCCTGGTTTTGAGGTCCTTAATGGCCTCTTTTAGCTTCAGCCTATCCGCTAATGGAAGGTCTGGCTGGACGCTAACATTAGTACCCTTCAGTTTAAAGGCAAACCGCAACAGCGCGTTGCTTTTATCCGGGGTGGATAGGACAACCCGAAGTGAGCGTGGTCGAGCGTTTTGGACGTTAACTGGGACGTTACCCAATCTAGTCAGTTTCCTGACAGATGTTAACCAATCCCAGAGCTTATCCAGTGCACTATAAATTGCCCGTAGCCCCCAGTGATAACCATAATATTCCGGAGGTTGAGATCATCAGCAAATAATAGCGACGGTACTTCAAGCTCCTGGGGTAGGTCATTGACATAAAGTGCCGAAAGCAACGGCCCTGAAACCGAGCACAGCACAGATTTCACGGGCTACAAGTAAATTTGCCAGACATGAAAATCCCTTACGGAATCCGTGCAGTGCTGCACTGCGAAGAGTAAACTTAATCAGGCGATTCTCTACCGAATCCGGCAGCAATGATTCAGACAACTCAACTACTATGTTTTTCAAGCTGACAGGCCGACAGTTCGCAGGCGGAGCCCTGTCCTCGCCCTTAAAAATCGGACAGATGTGTGCCTCCTTCCATTCCGAAGGTAAGGCACAGCTGTCGAGCGATATTGTAAATATGCGTGTCAGCGGGCAACTTAGCTCAGCAGTCAATTCCTGCAG